AAACACAGCTTTATAATTCAAATCTCCTGAGGGCTGGGTGTTTAACCCCCGCAACATTTGCATTACAAATCTATGTGTGCTGCTAGCATGCATCCCCTCACTCTCTTTTTCCCCCCTATCAGATAAATATATGCCCTGTTTTTCTGACTAAGGGATTACATCAATTTCAGTGTCTCCCCCTTATCTTTATTCCTACAGAAATGCTGCCCCTGTAAAGGATGTGTTTCTTGACTTAGAGGTTGCTGGAATAAATACACATTGGATAGCTCAGTTGGTTAGAGCGTGGTGCTGATAATGCGAAGGTTGCAGGTTTGATCCCTGTATGGGACACCTGTATATTTCTGCATGATCCTCAGGGTCCCTTCCAATTCTATGATTCTATGAATCTATGTTGTAGGGTTTAATTGGAAAAGATGAGAGGCCCAGGCCTCCAGACAGGCCAGTCTTGGGGTTATGAGATCACTACCAAAAATGGTGTCCCTGGAGTGAGTCCTCAGGGCTGTAATGAGTTGACTTCACCCCCACCAACAGCTGTCCTGATACAGGAACAAGGGGTGGAAGTATTCAGGGATAGCCAACCTGGTGCTCTCCATCTGTTGTTGGGATACAACTGCCGTCATCCATGATCCATGGCCATGCTGGCTGGGGCTGAAGTGTAATCCAACAACATCTGGAGGGCATCACATTGGAGACCCTATGATGGAGAAAAGGCATGGTAATAAGATCCTTTAAATATTAGGGTGGAGAGAGGAAGAACTTCCCACAGCAAAGTAACAGATGACCTAGTTCTAAGTCTAGGAAGCTCTGCCACTTCTCTGAGACAGGGGACCTGGCTGTGGTGCGGGGTGGATGGTTGTGCTGTAAGTAACCATTTTTATTGCCCTGTTCTTACATCCAGATAGCACTGAACCCCTGGCATCCTCAAGGACCCACTGTGACCAAACTGGCTGCACATTTCAAGGATAACTATGCTGGCTTCACCTTGACTCCACAGTTGATGAAGTTCCAATCTAAGTGCCCAGTGCAACAGCTTGTCATGTATTGTGGGATCACTTTTAGTGTATGCAGCCTGATGATGAGGACAAGGTGCTTGCAGCTCTGCATCCAACCGTGTGCCTTCTTGATCCTCGAGCCTCTTGGCTTAGCAAATCTAGTGTATGAGGTTTGATTGGTTTAGTCCAGAGCATGTCCATTGCATGAGGGGGTGGTCCCTGCCACCTTGAAAGAGGTAGTGGTACAACCATAGCTGGCCCAGCCTCAGGTAGCCCAAGCCTCCAGGTGCATTTGTACCCCTGGGTACAAATGCTACTAAAGAAGCTGCCCCAGGACCCATTGAGTTGGACTAACTAAAAGGTAAAGGTAAAGGGACCCCTGACAGTTAAGTCCAGTTGCGAACGACTCTGGGGTTGCAGCGCTCATCTCACTTTACTGGCCGAGGGAGCCGGCGTTTGTCCGCAGACAGTTTTTCCGGGTCATGTGGCCAGCATGACTAAGCCGCTTCTGGTGAAACCAGAGCAGCGCATGGAAATGCTGTTTACCTTCCTGCCAGAGTGGTACCTATTTATCTGCTTGCAGTTTGACTTGCTTTTGAACTGTTAGGTTGGCAGGAGCTGGGACCGAACAACAGGAGCTCACCCCGTCGCAGGGATTCGAACTGCCGACCTTCCGATCGGCAAGCCCTAGGCTCAGTGGTTTAGACCACAGTGCCACCTGCGTCCCTTTGGACTAACTACTAAGCAGTAATACATGCCACCTTTGAGGGAAGGTGGTGGAGAGGATCATGATAGGGCAACTGCTCGCATTCTTGGATGAAATCATGAATCCCATGGAGCTGTCATGGAGAGGCTGGGCAGATGACAAGGAGGAGTGGGAGATGCTAGGGCAGTTGAAGGAGTTCAATCTGCTGAAAGGTCCCAAAAGGCTGGGGTATGGAGATCAAGAACCCTGAGAGAAGTCTGATCACAGGGAGGGTCCCAGTGGCTTGAGTGGTGAAGGCTTTGGTGCTGGAGAAGGGGTGAGCAGGTTGTCAAGGGAATAGCCTTGTGTTATTTGATGTCCCAGGTGCTATGTCACCACCAGCAAAAGTGTCTCCGACACCTCCTCCAACCCAAGAGGAGCCAGCCCAATTGAAGGAGGCACCTAGGGATGCTTCTGACAGTGAGACAATGCAGAGGGGGCTGCACCAGTGTGTACAGACTTCGCTTGTTCAACCTACGCAGAGGAGTGTCTCTTTGCTTGCCCAGCCCCATGACTTGAGATATGAATCAGGCAAATAGCTATGTATTACTTGCTCTTCAAAAGTAAAGCATGGAGAATGTGTTGGTTTTTGGATCATGGTTTTACCTAGCTATGTATCTGCTGTGCTTTTTGAACTTGTAACCAGTAGACCCATATCTGGGTGCTATACTAACTGGAAAAAAACCCCAGGACAGGTTATACTAATTATCTGGATCCATTCCCATCCAGGCTCAGACCAGGCCATGGGTCAAATTGGCCTTGGTTGCTCTGATGGGGGGAAAGACAAGGCAAATACAACATTATTCTTTGCTTCTTTTTGTGGCTTTTGATGCTGTTGACCATGATATCTTCCCAATGTTCAGGCAGAGGGTGGAATTTGGCAGAGATTAAAATTTCCACATTCTGTAATTAGATTTCACTGCCTCCAATGCCTTGTATTTAATTTTTAGAAACACATATTGTGGTTGCTAATTACCGTATTTTTCGCTCTATAACACGCACCCGACCATAACACGCACGTAGTTTTTAGAGGAGGAAAATCCGTAGGCATGCCACCCGTAGGCATTCCCTCCATAACACACACAGACATTTCCCCTTACTTTTTAGGAGGAAAAAAGTGAGTGTTATGGTGCAAAAAATACGGTACATTGTGAACATCACGTGTAATTAGGCCCTAAGATTGATGCAGTACAGGTGATCTCCAAGACTAAGGGATCACTGGAATGCTGAATCACAAAGCTGTTCCAGTTACCGGTACCTTTTAAACACGCGCGCACACACACACACACACACACACACACACACACAAACCTTCCATTCAAACCTTTCACGTTTGATGTTTGCCTTTGAAGTGTTGCAGCTTTGTTTTGCTTTTGACTTCAGCAATGCTGGCATCTCATAGCAGTTGTGCACTGCCAAATAGTACAAAATATAGGTCTGCCAAAATTATAGATATCCTTCAAAGTATTATCCTTATTGTCTGTATAATGTTATGTGGTCATTGCTTTACATTGTGTCTTTGCCTCCAAAGTCTTCCTCTGCATATAAGGCATATACTTGTTTTGTTCTAAGAATTACTACTTCAGCTTATTTATTTTTTCCAGCGGGTAGGGAAACTTCTACATTATATAGAAGTCTTGGGAATATTTTTTCCCCCTTCCTTTCTTTAACACATCCTCTTTGATGAGGATATTTTATAGCTCTTCGGGTTTTTAATCTCTCCCTCTAGAGACATGAAGAGATCTGCCTGCTTTCTTTAAAGTAATAAGTCTACCCAATTACCTACCCCATAGAAAGGCTTTTAGTGCTCCTTAGCATTATCCTTCAAAGGGCACAGAATGTGAGTAAGTGGCAGAGCAGACCACAAATTCTCTCCCGATAAGGAAGCCTGGGGTGTGTGACAGAAAGGGGTGAAAGCAAGGATAGATTTGTGTGTGGTAGCTTTAAGTGTGCCTTCTCCTAGCTGCATCTGGAAGTTCCTCTGTGTCTGAGTGCAGATGAAGAGGACCTTCATAAGCACATTTTACTACACATCTACCCCAAATGCATGGGGAAATCCTGATTACCACTTGGCAGGATGATACATACACAGTCATTTGCTTAGAATGTAACTTAAGAACATAAGATCCCTGCTGGACTAGGCCAAAGGCCCATCTAGTCCAACATCCTGTTCTCACATTGGCTGACCAGATGCCTAAATAAAGCCCACAAGCAGGAACTGAGCACAATAGTGCTCTCCCCACTCATAATTCCCAGCAATGGGCGTTCAGAGGCATACTGCCTCCCAACAGTATCTGTAGAGGCACACAGTGTGTGCAAACTCTTAAGACAGCAGTGCCATTTCATTGCCAGCACTGCTTTCTTTGAGAGAAGCTTCTGCCAGAATCAACACCAAGGGTTATAATACGTGGGCATCTGCCAAGGTCCCCAATGCCAACAGGGGCCCATTGGCAAGAGCCTCCTTGACTCACACTCCTCCTCTGCCCCATTGCAATGAGCTTGTTCACCTGCATCTTGTCCTGGCCCAGAGGAGATGAGCAAACAAATAACAGCAGTAGTAGCTGCCACCGCTTGCTTGGCAAGCAAGCAGGTGATCGCAGTGGTGAAGAAAAGGACCAACAGGGACAGCCCAAGATATTTAGCTGCCCAAGGCACGTTCCACATGCAGAGGACAACTGGACTGGCAGTTAAGCCTTAATTCAACACTGGCAGTGGGGTAGTGCCCCCGGCACACCTGAGGCAACAGGCTAGTTTGTGGGGGTGTGGCAGGACATTCACATCTCTGTCCTCTGTCCCAATGGCTGATGCTCATTGGGACTGGTAGTGTGGAAGGCTAGGAGACTGGCAATAGGTGGAGCAGGAGCCAGTGACGGGCAAAGTTTTAAGTTAGAAGGCAGGCAGGTTAGGGGTGACTGATGGCAGATTGAGATTGGTGAAGCAGTGCCCCATATGCCCTGATGGACCAGCCGCCACTGAAGGACAGTGCCACAGGGGCTTCGGAGTGACAGTGGGGGACGGGGATGCCGCTGCTCCCCAGCACCTGTTGCCTGTGGTGGTTGCCTCACTTTGCCTAATGGTAGGGCCAGCACTGGAACAATGGCAGTGTGAGGGAAGTCTCACTGAGGGAAGTGGGCATAGAGGACATCTTGCCCAAAGGTTCTTTCAAAACTGCCTTTATATTATCTCTGACAGTTTTTCTTTATTCAGATAGGTAGCCATGTTGATCTGACGCAGTCAAAATATATATAAAAAATTTTAAAATATGTCCAGTAGCACCTTAGAGACCAACTAAGTTTGTTCTTGGTATAAACTTTCATGTGCATGCACACTTCTGTTTCAGTGTATCTGAAGAAGTGTGCATGCACACGAAAGCTTATACCAAGAACAAATTTAGTTGGTCTCTAAGGTGCTACTGGACATTTTTTAAATATGGTTTTTCTTTATATTGGCTGCCCAGAACTTGAAGCAAAAAGACACTGATGTGGCCAGTAATATGGCATGCACTTTTCTCATGGATACAAATGTGTTTTTAATAATAACAATAACACCGAACTTTCCCCCAGACAAACCAAACACCCATCACCCAGTTTTATATATCTCAAGGGTAGGCTGGAGCAGTATGTGTGCCTTACCAAACCAAAACTTACAGCTCCAGCTCAGTGGGTAGGCCTGTAAACCTGTGACCCACCAAGCCAAATGCAGTCCACCACCCATCCTCCCCATTTTTTTGAATTACCAGGCAGACTTGGAAAACAACCCTTATCGAGCTGCCAGAAATGCATGGTTGGGGGTTGACAAGCTGTGCAGCTTTGCCTGACGGTGACTTTTGGTGTCATGGACCACACTACCCAACAGCATCCTTCTCAACTATATTTTTAGCTCCCTCAGAGGCCTTTCTGCAGACAGTCCCCAGAGACTCCACAGTCACATTAAATTTAAATACACAAACTTCTCTATTGTGTCGGGAACAAAATCAAGTCCAGCCACTCGTAAAGCAATGGCTACATTTGTCCAAGCGCTAAGTCTGTGGCATTGTTTTAGCCTTCCTCTTACATAAGTGAGTGAACGTTGTACGTGGGCCACTGAGAACTGAGTTCAAATCCTTGCCACAGGAGCAATCCTATGTGGAAGCTGGTGTAATTTAAGGCGGCATAAAGTTACATTAGATCCCAACTGCTGCTGCTGCTCTGCCTAAGTCCGGCAGAGGGAAAGCAAGCCTTTAGAACAGAGCATTACCCTGGGTTTCCAGGTCACGTGACCAAACTGAATGGGTTTAGGATTCAGACTAAGTCCTCACCCCACACATTTTTTGTGGGTTCACACCGGCTGAGCCCTGCTAAATTGGGATGAGCAAGCTGCACTGGTGTGTTTTCAGTTGAGCCAGGATTGGGGATTAATGCTGGCCAAGCCCAGCTGAGGTGAGAAACGGCTGGCTGAGGCAGAGGTCTACTGCATCCTAAGCTGTTCATCCCACTGGATCTTGCTGTAGGATCTTGGACCAATCCCTTTTAGCACAACCCTCGCAAGGTAATTTGAGAGATACAATGGGATCGTGCTGCCCTAGGGAATGCTGCTTTCCAAGGTGAAGGAGAGCTGTGCCTTTTTTCTTCATGACCAGAGGGCTGGTAGGAGACTCCATGGGTTGCTTGGCCCTACCTGCTGCTCTACAGTGAGGCATGCTGCCCTTGACACATTATTGACAGATGTTGTTCCAGCTGTTTATTGAAACTCCAGAATATCCTTCCAGACCTGTAATCAGAATTCCCTCAGCTACGAGCCATGTCATATAGCCAAAATGTCAGGATCAAAACACAGTGCTAAGCCTGCAATGTTATGTTTGTAAGCTCCCAAACCACCCCCACCCTAGTCCCTAGCCCTTTCAAAGAGCTCTTCTTCCTTCTTAAGCAAATAACCTTGTGTTTCACATGATTGAATGTCTTTCGGGAAAGACCTTTAAAAACAAAGTTCCTGATGAATCTGATCCCTGACATGTCAGGTTTCTGCACTTAATCCCTAATATATTATACCTTAGTGTCAGCAGATGGATCTCATCTTTGCCCTTAGGGGAAAAGTAGGCTTTACTGAAGTTAAGGAATAATGCCTATATTTCAGCGATAACAACTGCCCATCAACCTGCTATCCTCTTATTAGGATAAATGACTTCACTACTATTGCATGGAAATTAATGCTGACCTTGTATTCTGACAGAAGGGAGGAGTCACTATTATACTCCCCCCACCCACCCACAACATCACTGTGAAAAGGTGGTATTCAATGCTAGTCCTACTCAGAGTAGACCTATCAAAGTTAATGGGCATGCTTAATTTAGGTTCATTTATTTCAGTGGGTCTATGCTGGGTAGAATTTAGCTGAATACAGCTGAAACCATGGAGAAATACGTGTGTTCCATTTTGATAGCAGTAAAGGGTCCTTTCTAGCATTTTCTGCAGTCCAGAAGTTGGGAAGCAAAACAGCTCTATTCTTGTTGGATCTGCAAGTATTTTTCTTGTTGCAAATTTCCTTTGCAGTTTGCCATTTGTGCAGCAGACAACACCAGCACAATAGAGGCAAATCAGCAAATAATTGTTTTCAGTGTCAGCAAACAATGCAACTGCATTATTGGCAATTGATTGACTGGGCTGGGTAGCGGGCAGCCTTGCCAACCAAATTTAGCCTATGAAGAACATTGGTGCTACAAAAAGTTACAAGGTTTCGGCAGGAAGCTGCAGGACATATACCAAACTGAAAACAAAGCAGTATGGCAAAAACGTTTGCAGGTGCCAAAAATACTGAAAGCAGGATGGTGTATCTAATAGCATGATGAACACAAATGGTCATGGCTGCACAATAAAATAGATATTTAGAGCAGCTCTTCATTGATTTATCACAGGTCCGGACGTTGACATCCAGAGATGAAGATATGTGCATCATTTTCTCAAGTACCCAAGATGGTATTGAAGGTGGTACCCAAGTTCACCAGAGAAGCCGTGTGTGTTTCATTTCCCTGCTGCCTATCCCTCTGTTTTCTAGGCATATATAGCAAGCATTTATTTGGGTTGGATTCAGATTACCTGCGATTGGAACTCTGCTCACAGGATACTCATGCTGGAGCAAGGGTGGGAGAGAGAAAGTAATTTTTGCTGAGTACTCCTTTCCTCAACAACCCGCTGCACCTACTGAAAATCTCTAGGTGGTTGACAGACCCTGCAGAACAATGTGGGAGGGGGGGAAATGAGAATCACTTCCCTCCTTCCTCTCGCAAGAGCCTTCACAGAATCTCAGTCCCTTCTGTAAACAGACCATTCTTTTGCTCACATAATGGCAAGTCTGGACCCAATCTTTGGGGGACTGGGTTTTCTTCTTTTGGACAAATGTCAGCAAAGATTTGATAAAAGTGGATGGAATTTTGAAGCCTTTAATGCTCTCTCGGGCTTTCATTCCAAACCTCCCTGCATAGTATAATCTTAACAACATAAACTAAACACAGCTATTTCAGCAGTTTTAAAGGTGACTTGATAAAATATATATGCAGATTACTTCAGGGCAAGTAGTCTGAGTTATCAATTTATGACAGGTCAGGCCTGCAAAGACCTCCAATTAACAACAACAAAAACCGACGGCCATATATCCTGTGCTTTGATTGCATCCCTGCTTCTTGCTAGATAATGTGTTTTTGATTCTGACTTCATTTGTTTTGTATATGTAAGTGGAAATGAATGCACGGTGTTAAGAAGTTCACTCGCTGTAGGCAAATCCCATCTCTCCATTTTAAAAACCAGCACTGATTCCTTGTGGCTGGTATACTGTATTTTCTTTTTTTACTGCAGTGGTACATGCTTGACAGTCTTAACCTTTCTGCTGCATATTGGAACTCTGCCATTTTTCTTTCCCTCACTGCTTATGAAAAGTGAGGGATTGACAGCACTGGAGAGACCAAAATGCTCTGCTTAGCTGACAGTCTGTGCAGCTCGCTTTCTCGCACTCAGCCAAATGTCCTTCATCCTAACCTCCAGAAACCCATCTCTCCTGATGCAAAAGCATAATCCTTCCTTCGTGCTTGTATAATCTTTGACCTCTGGTGAACAAAGGCTCCAGATCACTCTTGTTTTTGGCTATGTACACACCATCCATTTAAAGCACATTTTCCATGCCAAAGAATCTTGGGAAGCCTAGTTTGCCCCTCACAAAGCTACAATTCCCCTTAACACACTACAGCTCCCTTGATTCTTTGGGTACAAATGTGCTTTAAATGTATGTCGTATGCAGCTTTTGTTTATTTGTTGTGAGATGTTCCTGAGCCCCTGAAAACCTACCATTTTTAACACTGTAAATTGGTTGTAGTATGAATTTGTCTGTATATGCGTCCATGGGGAATATGGAGATAATGAAAGAATGGGGAGGGGTGGGGAGAGATTGTGCACACTGCACAGTGTAATAATATCTGTGTGCAGGAAGGAGAGTAAAACAGCCTAGCTAGTAACTATACTAAGTGATCTAGGGCTAGAAATTACAAGCACATCATACAGAGCAAGGCCCATCCAGATGTTGCTGCACTGCATCTCCTACCATCCCTGATCATTGGTTGCTGGGGCTGATGGAAATTGGAGCCCAGCAACATCTGGAAGGCCACAGATTAGCTACCCTTGATACAGAGTCAGTGAAAATCAGTACTTTATAGTGGTTAAAGTAATGGGCTAGAACTGAATCCCTGCTCAGCCAAGAAACTCACTCACCTTGGGCCAGTTACAACGTTCTCCCAGCCTAACAAGATCATTCTGAGAATAAAAGGGAGCTGTATAGAAGAGTATATGTCACCTTGGGCTCTGTGGAGAAAAGGTGATATGCCCCACTGACTCCTCCTGTTTGACCTGTTTCTCAGAAACTCTTAACACTGTCACATCCCACAGCTTACAAGGATATCCTTAAGGTGAACAAAATTCAGTGTGTCATGCATTATTTTTACCTAGCGATGAGCTGTGTGTATTTCCCAGTTTTGATTTTCAGGGAGAAATGGGCAGTTTGTGGAGCAGAGGACTCACCCTAAGAAGTCATAGTTTGTGTACAAGGCCTAGCAACCCAGCAGAAATTACACAGTCAAACTCTGTTCTAAATGCTTGTTTTCCCTCTGCCAGGCTCGGGTCAGCTGAGCAGGCAGTAGACCCACTCCAGAATGGAATTTGAAATAGGGGTAGGTTATACCTGCCTGATTTACCCTGGCATAATTTACACTGCTTTCCTCTAGTTTGGAATGTTCTGCTCCAGAAGCAGAGGGGGAGAAGGGAAGTAGGACCACTCCACTCGCTCTGCTGGCAGACCCGTTCCATGGGGTTCTGCCTATGCCTGAATTGTTTCCATCCCAGCAGTTCCCAACAGAATTTGCCAGCAGTTCCCAATATTGGCACATGCCACTCCGTTGCCC